GAAGACGAGAAGCCAATAAACCAGTGTCCTGGTGGGACGCTCCCAGCACGGGTCACGGAGTGCCCATTCACTACCATGTGACGAGGCTAAGCAGATGCACTAACGTAAGGGCAGGAGGGAATTATGGCCCTGTGTTCACCGCTTCAACAGCACTCACGGTCACCAAAGGTGGAAAAAATCAATTCTGGTTTTCACCCATCGACAGAGGAATGGACACACCACACACACACACACACACACACACACACACACACACACACACTGGAACAGTGTTCAGCCATGAAGAGTAAAGCACTGACACCTGCCAAACACACAAACTTTGAAAAAAATGTTAACTGAAAGAAGACATTCACAAAAACCCAGGCATGGCATGGTCCCACTTATATGAACCTTCCAGAAGCTGAAAATGCAGAGGCTGAAGGTAACGCAAGGCCAAGAGCCAGGGAGGGTGGGCAATGAGCAGTGACATGGGGTTTTCCCGAGAGAGCAGAGAGAGCAGTGGAAATGGTCTGAACTCAGCAGGGATGGCTGCACCCTGCAGGGTCCCAATGCCACCAAACTCATTTGCTTGGTTTCACGTTCCGAGAATTTCACCTGTGTCTTAAGGGGGTAGTGTTACAATAGAGGGTGCACATTGTGGCTACATTCAACAACATCTAGCGTCCATATAGATTCGGCGCCAGCCTCCAGAAGAGTCAAGATGAAGCTAGACATAGAAGACAGAGGGCTCAGGACTACAACAGGAGAGCCACGTCACCTATCACCCCTCAGCTTCCCTCAGCTCGCCTGGAAATCAGGGCACCATTTCATGGCACATCCCACCCCCAACTGCCCCGGAAAAGGGACCAGGGGCTGTCCCAGGCTCTAGACTCCAAGACGAGGGAGATGCTAGAGACCAGGGCAAGCCAGCGTGTCTCTCTGACCTAGCACACACAAGAGCATTACTGCCACAAAGCATAGTCCCTGCTGGAATACACAGAACCTCTTTCATTCTGGAAGTGGCCCTTCAGGCCAGCTGGGGCCATGAGGAGACGGGTCAGGCAGTCTGCACCCCATCTCTGGTCCCAGGTCCCCACTGTTAGGTTGGGATCAAGAACCTGGAGGGATCCTAAGGGACATCCAGGCCCTGAGTAGGGGGAAGGGGACACCTCAAGACAGTTCTGAAGGGCACAGACACTTGCAGTCAGCAGGTAAAGGGCAGAGCCAGCACTCAACCCGTGACTGACATCACAGCCTTCTCTGCTGTGGGCAGTAAAGAACCAGGCTGCAGTTCAGGATGATGGAAAGTTCTGTGGAAGGATGACAGCCATGGCTGCCTAGCAGTGCAAATGTGCTGAATGCCACAACCTATGCACTTAAGAAGGGTTACTATATTAGCCACTGTCAAATACTAAGTATCCAGGGGCGGAAGAGATGGCTCAGCAGTTAAGAGCACTGACTGTTCTTGCAGAGGACCCAGGTTCGATTCCCAGCACCCACATGGTGGCTAATAACCATCCGTAGCTCCCGTTCCAGGGTAATCCAGCACCCTCTTCTGGCCTCCTAGGGCATTGCACGCATGGGTAGCACTCACACATATAAAAGCAGAACACTCATCTACATGAAATAAAAATAAACAAATAAATTAAAATTAAAATAATACTAGCTTGCCAACCCTGGCATAGACCTGGGGCTTGATAAGTTCTTTGGTAATGTTCACTGTTCTAGAAGCCATGACATTTGTCAGTCTACTTCACAGGGTTATGAGAGGTAGAATACTTCCTGGGAAATTCTTTAAAAGAATACTAAAGCCAGAGACAAGGGGAGGGCCCCTCCCCTCAAGCCAGCATCCCCCAACCCCTGCCCCGCTTCTGTGCAGCCTTCAGACCGCTTTCTGTCTCTCTTCTGCTTCTAACCAGGATCCTGACTCAACATGCCATGACCTCCTTGTCCACTCCCTGCAAGGCTCCTGCCTTCCCTTAGGTCCCCAGGGCTCCTTCTCCACCTCTGTCCTCCTGTTGCCCATGATCCCTGTGCCATCTGCTGGCCATGAAACCATGTAAGCAAAGAAAACATTTTCCCAAGACATGGGAGCCAGGACTCAGAGGTCCCTCCACTGGCCAGCCCAGGGCCCTCATCTGAGCCTCTGACTGAGCAGCTTATGGCCACAAGGACACTACAGCGGCACATTTCCATAGAAACGAAGCCAGACCTTCGAATCTGATACTGGCCCTGCAGGAAAATGGTGCCTGCACAAGGGTCTGGGTGCCCAGTGAGGCAGCATCTGAGGTCCAACTGAGTCCCTCTGCCTCTCTAGTGGGAGGAGACAGCTTCCCCTCATCAAGAGAGCTGTACCTGTGTGACACTGTGCAGCTAAAATAAGAGCCCTCATGGCAGGAGTAGGAGGTGGAGCAGTGCACATTCTCCTTATATAACTCACTCCTACAGAGCACAGAGAGGCTGCACATCTTGCCCAGAAACACACAGCCACTGGAGCCTGAGCTGGTCCTCAGGACTGGCTGCTCAGGATCACCAGCCCTACAGTTAGCTGGGGAAGGACAAGGGGAGGGGCTGCCATGATGGGCCCCTGTTCTGTGACAGAGCTAAAGGACATTCTTCATGACTTATCATGCACTTGACATCATAACCATTTAATAAGTACCCCCTGGGCACAGAACTTCTGATCTGCACAACCAAGCCAAAGAGAAGTACTGTCCCCATTTGCACAGGAAATGAAGGCTCAAGCTTAGACCTCTAGCCCAAGGCTGCACAGCAATAAAGAACAGGACATAGATAAGTCTAACTTGAAAGCCCTGCAGGTTGGCCCCACCACTTGGGTGAGGAGATTACCCAAGAGAATGGGCATATACTACAGTAATCCCCCATCTCTCCAACAGAGATCCTTGGTGGAAAGGCCCAGGTGGGAAGCCCCTGCCAAGCACAGCTAACTGGGGGCAGCCAGGGTCAAAACAAGCCTTTGCAGGAGACAAGTTTCATTCTCCAAGTTAAAAAAAGCCAGAGTACAGTGGTGACCATGCTGGCTTATGCCTTAGAAACGTCCTCCTGGTGCTAGTGAGGCCTCCACCCACCCCATCCACCAAGAGAACCCTCCATCCACTCCTACCACCTCCTCCTCAGGCCTCCCCAAGCAGGGCAGCCAAGGACAGCCCACCTCACTCTCTGTCCCATGTCCCTGCAGTCCCAGAACTGAGGGTGTGACTCTTCCCCAGGAAGACAGACCCCCACCTCACAAAGGCAGGCCACTCTCAGCACTCTCAGTGCCCAGAGTCCCTAGAGGGCAAGAGCTGACTAAGGAAAACCCCACACTGTGTAAAGTTCTGGGAAGTACAGACCAGAGAATCCAGTCTGACAGATAGAGGAAAAACACAATTGACTTGAGTGCTGTGCTTTGAATCCTTGTTTTCCAGCCAAACAAGGCAGAGGAACATTTTTTGAAGGTAAAAAACAGCACAGTGGAAAATCTGATTGAAGATGTGACCACAGATCACAGAGGCAACTCAGAGAGGGAAGCAGGGAGTATGGACAGGTTGGCCAGGGAAGCCAAGAGCAGGACTGATGGATGGTTTGTGGAGGAGGGTCATGACAGACAGTCTTGTCCCCTGCTGGGTCCAAAGACCCATGGGGGGGTCCTTACTGTGAAGAGACCCAGGTGTGAATTACTTCCAGCACAAGGGCAGAGACACCCAGCATGCACCTGGTGCAAGGTCCCAAAGAATACTTTGCAGCATCCCACATGCAAGGCACAAAATGAGCTTTTCCACTGCAGACCTCACTTCAACTTGCTCCTCAGCTGACGGACTGCCACCACCAGCCCAGGGTCCTGGAGAAAGGCCCAGCTCCTCCCTCAGCCTTACCCCTCCCATCAGGTGGTCCCAAGTTATGGGAGTGACACTGGGTGGGGCTGCTCTGGTCCTCCTCACCTCTTCTTTTGGTCTGGGGACTTGGTGGGAGGGGGGAGCCATTCATGGTAAAGGCACAGGGTGACCGGCCCTGCTAAGGGACTCTCCTTGACCTTGGTCTATAAGGAGCTAGGCAGATGATGGAAAGGCGTTCCCAGGGAGGGAACCACATGACAAAGGTCAAGGTCAGTTTGCCTGAGTGTGTGCAAAGGGGAGGGTGGCCGAGCAGCACTAGTGGACAGATACAGTACCTCCGACCTTAAAGCACCCGGGCAGAGGCTGGCAGAGGGCCGAGTGTGTGCAGAGGGGGTTCCTAAGGCAAAAGCCCTGGCCACTCTGCGAGGTGACAAGGCCCATCCTCCAGAGCCCACCGCAGGGAGGCCCGAGGGGTGGACAGAGGGCCTGGGGGGGAGAGGCTCACTGACGTGCGGGAGACGTTGCAGGTTTGACCCTGCAGGCCGATCCCAACGTCTCTCCTCCGAGAGCCACTGCGCCCAGGGCGCGCCGCCGGGCACAGGGTGGGTACCAGCCTTTCTTCGCAGTGCCTCAGCCTCCTCCCCGGTGCCCACGTGGGCGGAGCGGAGCGAGGGAGTGCGTGGCCCGGTCGCGGCACACGCCGTGCGTGGGGTGGGGTGCGGCCAGGTCGGCCTCCCCCCTTCGGGTCCCCCCACACTCTCTGGGCTCCTCCGTGCCACCTAGGCGCAGACCGGAGGACAGAGACCTTCCCAGCCAGGGGGGACCGGACGGCCACGCCCCCCCGCGCCACTCCCGCAGGCACCGGGTGGGTCCCCTCCCTCCCCACCCTCCCCTCCCTCCCCTTCCTCCCCTCAGCTCGGGGACCGATGGGGAGAGGAGAGGAAGGCCGGGCATGTGAGCGATCAGAGGGGGGCCGCGGAGCGCGGAGGCGATGGGCGAGTGGGGGTGTGGGGGAGGGGACGCGCGAGTGGGGGCCGGAGGTGGGATGCTGTGCAGAGCGATGGGCACGGAGGATGGGAAGACCGGACGGGGCGGGGCGGGGCTGCTCCGGTCGCCGTGTCCCCGCCGCCGGGTCCGCCCATCGGGGGTCCCGGGTCCCCTCCCACCCGGCGCACCTGTACCCACCTGCGCGGAGCTCCGACCCGAGCGGGGCAGCAGCAGCGGGCGCAGCCCCGGGCTGCATCCTCGGGCCGCCCCCTCCCCGCCTGCGCCTACGCCGCTGTCGCCGTCGCCGTCGCCTCCGCCTTAGAAAGGACTACACGGACCAGAGCAAGGACGCGTGCACAAAAAGACAACGCGGGCAGAGCCGGGGAGGCCGGCAGGCGCGCGGCTCGGACGGGGACCGGGGCGCCACGCGGGACGGCGGGGACAGGCGCCGGCGCGTTCCGCACGCTCCAGGCTGCGGCTCCGGTGGCCACCGGGCGCCGGCTCGCAGGGCGGCCCCGCCCCTCCCGCCGGCGTCCCTCCGATTGGTGAGTCCTCCCGCCAGTCAGAGAAGAGGGCGTGGCGTCCTCCTGGCCCCGGGGGGCGACCGCCTAGGGCTTCTCTGTGCCCGCCGAGCCTGCGCACTGGACTGGGGGGCTGGGGTCCCGCAGCTCAGCGCCCCTCGCGGGTCTGGGGGTCCTGTGCGTTGCTGGCGGGAGCCATGCCGGGGAGAGGCTTTCTGGCCCGGGAAGCTCTCCCTGGCTGCAGAGGCCTCCCAAAGGGCCGCGGGATGGTGACCATCCTGCCAAAGATACAGAATCGCGGGGTGGCTGTACTCCCCTCTTTGTGCGGATGGGAAATTAAAGACCCAGGGTGAAAGCTAGGCGTTCAAGGTCACGAGTGGCAAGCGGCAGGCCCAGGACTCCAACAGCCCCTAGTCCGGACAGTTCTAACCGTTGTTGAAGGGTAGGGTTTGGCTAGGCAGATATTCCGTTTGTTTAGTGTTGGCCTACAGATACGAATTGAGTACCTACTGTGTACCAGGTTGTCCCTAAAGATCTAGGGATATCATCGTAGACAACAGAAAGCATGCATGTAGCAAAGACAGACGGAAGTGCATATATGAACAGGACACAGCAGCTGAAAACAGTGAGGCCTATTTGAGAATCTGAAAAAGAATGCCTGTCACACCTGAGAGAGGAGGCTGTGGAAAGGTGAGGACCCGGAGAGCAGAGACCACCACTGTGTATGGAAAGAGTTTGGGTCACCCTGAGACTTGGGGTAAACTGCTGTCAAAAATTTTTTTAATGTAGCAGTCAGGATAAACTATATGGAGCTGCAGTGACAAGTCCAAATTTCAGGGCTTCTTCCTTGTTTGTGCTATTCATCCTGCTTGGGTCAGTGGAGCTCTGTTGACTGACCTGGCTGGATCTTAGCTGAGCACCTACAATCCATAAGACAGTGTAAAAGAAAGGTGACCAGTCTTTAACTGGTGTGTAAAGTCACCACCCTCAAAAGCACACCTCCCCTTCCATTTCGTTGACCAAAGCAAGTCACATGGTCATGCCTGGCTTCAGAGGCTTCAGATCTTCCCTGAGCCCAGGGAACACCTGAAATGTTTGTGAGTGAGATGCTTGTAACAACAGACCGGCTGTGTAGAGCCCATGGCCTGACAGGAAGGGGGAGGATGGTAACAACAGAGAGACCCAGGTGTGGGGACTGGCGTGACTTTCTGGTGGCTTGAACAACACAGGTTGGAGGGAAGGCTGTCAGGAATGAGGTCCAGGTGCTCTGTACCTCACATTGGGACCTTGTTTAGAAACAGGATGGTAGCAGATGTCATAGGCTTGGTCCCTCCTCCACTCTGACTGTCCTTCCTATGAACCTGGAACCTAAACACAGATGCATACAAGAAGGACACAGTCTGTGAGCATGAAGACAGGCACCGCGTCCACCAGCCAGGATACCACAATCCACAGCCCAGTGGGAGGGAGGCCCACACACACTACAGGGAATTCAGCCCTACCGAGCTTGAGCTGAGACAATAGATCCTGTCATGCAGCCCTCCTTTGATACGTGTGTATCCTTGAAGAATCCCATTTGACTGTGAGCTATCAAAAGCCACAGCTACACAATGAGTTCAATTATATTTTCTCCATTAATAAGATATACAAGGTAAACCAACCCACACTTTCTCCTTCTGTCAGTCATCCTCAGCATGGAATTTCCTTCCTCTTGGTGTCTTCCAAGGTGGCCGTCTGTCTTCCAGCAACCTCTCACAGCTTTATAAGCACTTTTCTAGAAATTCTCCCTGGAGACCTCTTTTCTCTGGCTAGCCAGAACAATATTGGGCAGGAACTCCTGACTTGGCTAGAGTTTTTTTTAATTTAAAAGTTATATTTCATGGGGCTGGAGAGATGACTCAGCAGTTAAGAGCACTGACTGCTCTGGCAGAGGACCGGGGTTCAATTCCCAGCACCCACATGGCAGCTACGAACCGTCCTTAACTCCAGTTCCAGGGGAATCCGATGCCCTCTTCTGACCTCCATGGCATTGCACGACAGGGGTGCACTCACATACATGCAGGCAATATACTCATACACATAAAATAAAATTTTTTTAAAGTTATATTTCAGATGGGGAGGGGTGACCACAGACCCCCAGGGTTCTGTTAGTGATGGAAAGAGAAAGACTGGGGCACATGGAGGTGTCTGTGCAGAGCAAAGGCTTCATGGTGCTCAGAGTTTACAGACTTGAGAGCCCTCCTTAAGAGTGAAAAGGGCTGGAGAGATGGCTCAGCAGTTAAGAACACTGACTGTTCTTACAGAAGGCCCAGGTTCGAATCCCAGCACCCACATGGCAGCTAACAACTGTCCATAACTCCAGTCCCAGGGGATCCGACAGCCTCTTCTGACCTCCACGGGCATTGCACGACATGGGCGCAGTTACCTACACGCATACACATTAAAAATAATAATAATAAATAAAAAGAAGAGTGCAAAACCATTACAAAGGTTGGTGCAAGACGAAGACTTGTTTAGAATTACTTGGGCAAGCAAGATGGCTCAGCAGGTAAAAATGCCTGTCTCTGGGCCTGATGACCTGAGTGCAAGCTCTAGAACCCAGAGGGTGGGAGGAGAGAACCAACTCCCAAAAGTTGTCCCCTGACTACCACTAGCTCACCGTGGCATGTACACACATGGCCCCCCAGACAAGTTCACACATAAATGTACACACAAAATAAATAAATTTAAAATTTGTGATTAAGTTAGAACAGCAAAACACAACAAATTTTAGTTGCCTCATGCAGACAGAAGCCACAAACATCAAAAACTCCAGAACAAAAGGAAAATAATTATGTTAGGTGCCCACCTGACAGACTTCATCCATTTTGAATGGCTCTTAGTACAACACCCCACTCCTAGTACCTTAATGGGAATAATGATTTGAAAACTTTTTTTCTATGAAGAAAACATAACTCAAAGTTATATAACGGGATGCCAGGAATGGTGGCCCATACCTTTCACCCCAACCCTCGAGAGGCAGATCTCTCTGAGATGGAGGCTAGCCTGGTCTACATAGTGATTTGCAAGCCAGCTGGGGCTACAGGGAGACTGACCAAAAAAAAAATGTTCAGTAGGAGAAACTTGTTACTTTCCTATTGCTGTGATGAGGTGCCACGACCATGGCAACTTATCAAAGGAAGAGCTTATTTGAGCTCATGGTTTCAGAAGGTAGAGTCCATAATGGTGGGGAGGGCACAGCCACAGAAGCAGTGGGAGGAGAAAGCCAAGTGTTCACATCTTCAGGCAGGCACAGGAAGCAGAGAAATCTGGCAACTCTCAAAGTCTGCCCCCAGTGACTTGCTTCCAGCAGCATGGCTACACCTCCAAGACCCTCCCCAAACAGTGCCACAAACTGTAGACCAAGTGTCCCAATACTTGGAGTCTATGGGGACCTTCTCGTTCAAATCACATTGGACTCTCTGCCCTGATAGACTCATGACCATATAAAATGCATTTATTCCACCTTCAAAAGTTCCCATAGTCATTACCAGTCTCAATATGACTCAAAAGTCCAGAGTCCAAAGTCTCTTTTCAGACTGAAGGCACTCAACTGTAAGCCCTCATAAAATCAAAAGTCAAATTATATACTTCCAACATACAATGGAACTGAACACATATTCCCATTCAAAAAGGGGGGAGTGGGGACATAGTGAGAAAATACTGGACCAAAACAAGACCAAAATCCAGCAGGGCAAACACCAAATCTATGTCCAACGTCTGGGACTTTACTTCCAAAGGGCTTAGATGGCTTAGCCTCTCCAGCTTTGCTACGTCCAACATATCTCCCTTGGGCTGGTACCACTCCCTCTATGCAACTCTCCTTGGCAGATGTCTTATGGCTCTGGCATCATAAACATCTTCTTGGGGTCTCCACTGCCAACCAGGCTTCACCTTCACAACTTCATGCCATGGCCTATCAGGGCCTTCTCTATGCAGGGACACCCCTACTGCATGCTACCTGGCCTCAGTGACTCTCTGAAACCTTGGAGGAAGAACGAATGACCCCTTCACTCTTTCATCTTAAATGCCTTAAAGCCATCACCATGTGAATGACATTGCCAAGTTCAGCTGCCAGCCTGAGAGGACCCTGGCCTGCTTCATCCACATAAGCAGCTTTTCCAGGCTGCGGTTTCCTAAGAGCAGAAAACCCCTACAGCATTTTCCTTTCACAAGTTGGAGGCTTGGCTGGGTGTGCTCTTGTCCTGAAGGCACTCTCTCCATTAAATGCAAATCTCTAGGCCTCTCCTTATCAAAGGCAGCCTCTCCTTCAGCACCTGCCTTAGCTCCAACATTAAGCGTCCTAGTGCTCTTTTTCAATTCAAGCTGTACATTCTGTATCTCTTTCTTCCCCACTCGTTCTTTTTCACTGTAAGCTCTGCTTATGGCATTCAACCACTTTTCTAGTCTAAACTTCCAAAGTCTTCCACATTCCTCCAAAACCCACATGGTCACAACAACACCCCACTCCTACTACCAAATTCTATTCTAGTTACTTTCTGTTGCTGTGATAAACACCGTGACCCAAACCCACGTGGGGAGGAAAGGGATTATTTCACCATTCATCATGGAGGGAGACCAGGGCAGGAGCCTGGAGGCAGAAGCTAAAGCACAGACCATGGAGATATGTGGTTACTGACTTGCTCTTCTGGTTCCTGCTCAGGCTGCTTTCTTAAACAATATAGAACCACCCGCCCAGGGGTGGCACCACCCACAATAGCCCTCCCACATCACTCATCAATCAAGAAAATATCCCCACAGATGTGGCCGCAGGCCAATCCAACAGAGGAAATTCCTCAGTTGAGGTCTTCTCTACCCAGGTGTGGCAAGTTGACAGCTGAAGCTGTTCAGAGCAGCTGT